AGTTTTCTGGAAAGACAGCAGGATTAAGGATTAGGAATCCTGTTCCAAAGGAAAGAAGCAAAACAGCACTTATGTGCAGTACAACTGACAACACAGCTTTGATAAATGCAAATTGAACAACAACTGGTCTGAACAGAAAAGACTGGAGACTCTTTGTAATGAGGATCTGGGCTTTTCCTCTTACCCTCCCTAAAGCTAATGGTCTGTGGGACAACACTGCTGCTTTCTAGAGCAGGAAGGAGCCATTGACAGCAGAGATAAATCAGAAGGAACACAACCCCTATTCATCAACTCCCTAGTCCAGGACGAAGCTCTATTCCAACCTGCAAGTTTGTCAAACAGACATTATGCAAAAATTAACTGGTTGATTTGGCAAACCATAACCTTGCAGTTAAATCAATTACTAGTTGTCAGAGGTTCTCAAAGAGCTGTAAATACAGCGTGCATCGAGTTAGTAGCTCAGAGAAGCAATGCTGTCGCAGCAGCATTGGTTCGACCAAGCTGCTGAGCTCTTTTCACAGATCAAATGAGCTCTGGCCACAAGGAGAAGCTGCTCGGCAATGTGAATACAGTACATTATATCTAACATTCACATGCACAGAGCAGTACATGCATCAGAACAGTCTCCCTTTCTCATGTTTTGGTTGGTAGCACTGCAACTCCCAACTAGCACGGTTCAAGCAGCTTGACTACAGATTTGCAACAAAAAATGGGCACAGTCTCACCCCCTGCAAGTCACTGCCAAGACTCTGGTGACAGCAAGCACCTTTTATTTTAGGGTGGAAATTAAAAGCATTTACATCTTTCCAACAGTCTACCCCCAGAACATCAGCAGTGGCTGTGAATGGGATTATACACATTTCCCAGAGGGTAGCACATAAAAGGATTTTTTCCGGCTGCACTTTTGTGCCTTTGTTTTGCTGCTCAGGTCAAGAACATGACATGGGAAAGGGAGGAGTAGACAGGATATGCTATATGAGTTTTGTTATTACTTTAACTTAGCATTTTCCAATGGGAAACCATGTCAGGGAGGGGAAGCAGGAACAATCTCACAGGAAGCTTTCCATACTGTAAGTCACAGGCTGGCTCCACAGCCTTCCAAACATACTCCCATGATTACTTCCTATTCAATGGCTGCCTTTAGTTACTGCCTTGGTTTCTCTTCTCTTAAAAGCTTCCCCTCCACGACTTCATCAGTAAATGTTATTTCTGTTTTGTTCTAATGTCAGACAAATTCCTCAGCACAACAGCTGTTTCCAGTCAAACCATTTCAACATCAATTTATTATTATAAACAAAGGCAAATGTAAGTAAGTTCAATGTAAACCAGAAAACTAAAAGCACGTTTGCATCATTTACTATACTTAACATATATAAACTATAGAAAGTACAGCTGTAAAAATGCATCATTTATTTCCACATCTCACTATGCAAATTCAAGGCAAGGGGTTACCAACACCAAAATATGGATTACTCATCATTTTCAGAAAGAAAATGCCAACATTGATGCAATGCTGCTACGGTGTGTCATTTTTGCCACACCCAGCATCTGAAAGAAGAAAGCTCTACAGAGGGCTTTTTGTTAAACAAAATTGTTTTTAAACAAAATTATTTATCAAATGATGCTCCATTTTGAAACCAAGGAAAACTATTACTTTATAATTTCCTGAGACAGGAAAATGCTATTTTCCAGTATTTTTCCTTCTAATGTATAGCAGCAGAAGACCATGTTTCCACTAAGTCTCCTTAGGTATTTTTGCATGGTTCTCATCCCTGCAGAGGCTTCTGTCCTTGCTTTGCTATCCAAAACAACAAGTAATGTGAAAATTATTTTTCATGTGTTCCTCAAGTCATATTTAAGGGCCAGATGCAGACACCCCTGTTCAAGCTTAAAATTATATGCAAACAGCTGAAAAGAAAGAAGTTTCAAAGCCTAATACAGAATATCAGAGAACCTTCCAGATAACATGTGTAGGCATACAATCATGCACACTGTTTCTGAGATGGATTCCTAAGTATCTATAAAGGTGGCAAATGTTCCATCATAAAAATTGTTTTTCAAGACAAAAAAATTCAGATCATTTTTCCTCTGAAGTTCATGTAGGTTGAATTTGCCATCATTATTTTATTGGGATTTTTACCTGGTCAAGAAAACTAAATCAGAAACAAAAAGGAAATAAACTATAACATAATGATAAGCTTAGTTACAATCTGCCATATGCTTACAATCTCCACAGCCAAGCAGATTCAAGAAGTAATTGATCTGCCTGTTCCCACACATCCAATTGACACATCTGATGCAGACACTAGTATAGTGGAAGAAGCAGAAACAGACACCTGAAAAACTGGTACTCCTGCCAGAAGCTACTAGCTGTGTGAAACATGCGGGAAATAGAGTTTATTTTCATTGGTTGAGTGATTTCTTAATCCTAAAAGTTTTCATTTGAGTTTGTGATAATGTTTTTCTTTAGGATACACATCTATGAGTTTCATATCCTCACAAATATCTATACAGTTTTTATATTAACCACTTTTGCTTTTCTTCTATCGCCCTTCAAGGGTATACACTTCAAAGTAACCTGCTTGGTTCATTCCCCCAAAATAGGCATTATATCTCCTTCTGTACTCTTGCAAAGATCTATGTTTTTCCTAGCTCAAGACAACAAAGTTTTGTCTTCTTAGTTATGGTAGTTGAAGGCATCACGGGCTCTTTTGCCATGGATCACTATATAAACCCTTCCATCTCATAATCATATATGCCATAAAAACAGGAAGCCTAATCAATGGTATAGTGCAGTTAAAGTAATGGGTGCTTGAGAGTGTTACTGATAAGTAGATTGATAACAGACTGACAGTTGAGATGTCTGTAGTCCAAAGGACTGAGAGCCTTTGTAAGATACTTGCAGTACTGTAAAATGAGGACAGTAAGTGTCCAAGTAATACAGTAAAAACTGAAAACATGGTGCTGCTAAGGACTGGAGTTCCAGAGACTCCTTAGATTTTGCACAGAAATCAATCAACTAGCAAAAAGAAAATCTATTAAATCTGCAAAACAGCATGCAGAAAGAACACAACACAAGGAACTAATTAAAAGGGAAATATGAATTGGAGTTTTGTGTTTTGTTTCTTGACATCAGTATGGACCACAATACTTGCTAGCTGCCAGATGCTCACACACCTGAGCAACAAATTTAGCAGTTACAAGCACAAGCAGGGCATAGAACACAGGGAGGAACTATCATGCTGCATTTCTGCATAGCTCACTTCAGCAGGCCTCTCTGTCTACTCTGATATCAAAGCTGTCCAAGCCCACTTCCCAGTTAGATCATCTGAAACTCACCTTTCCAATGATAGGCATTCTCATATAAGCAACTATACTCTGCATCTAACACTTTCCTAAAGGAACTATTTTAGCCTTCAGATGCAGTTTTCATGGGACCCATGTGCTGCCTCTACAACTGTGGCCACAACAGTGCGTCTCTGGATACTCTGGAAGCCTACTCATCATCCTCCTTTCTGCCCTTTGTTAAGAACCAGCAATGAAATCAGTTTCTCTCAGCATTTTCATATGTGAAGGTAGTCCTTTTTATTTTTCAGTTTAAAACATTTGACAAAATTAAGTATTCTGCTGGCCAAAAGTTCACAGTGAGATACCAGCTACACAACTATCACTATAACCGCAGCTACTAACTACCACTTAGCTGTGCACTGTGGTTTACAGACAGCTTAATCTATTTTAAACTAACACTGAACCAATTATTGTCAGAGTATGTATTTTGCTGTACACTGTACCTTTGTACACCTAGATCTGCAATACACACACATTTATACTTGGACATTCCCTCAAATTATTTGAGCAGCTTACTATAGCCTTCTAAAGAGCTGGCAGACAGTTTGTGTACCTTACAACCATGAAAACTTCATACTGTTTCCCTCTCTGATCCTTCATTTAAATTTCTCTTATCGCACAGGATTTTTAGAAAGGAAGTCTTCCTAAGAAATTTAAATACCACAGGAAAATATACCTTTGATTTTGCAAGCAGTGCTTTCCTCCATGAGTATTTTGTCCATATTGCCCCAACCTGTTATTTTCTACCATTTAGAAACTAGACTTTCAAATGTTGAAAACACAACACAGGTAAATGTCATGGGGAAAAAACCTCAAGCAGATATTAAGGCAACCAAATTCTGTGAACAAAAGCAAATGTTAAGCTTTGTGATTCTGTCCTCTAGTAAGACTTACTGATGGCATATAGTGCTCATCACTTTTGTTCAAAACTCACCTACACTTCTGACTGCACATTCTAATCAAACATGAAGTGGCATGTGCCAGCCTGCATCCTGAAAAGCGTTAACAGAAGGAGTAGCACTCATGCTCCAAAACCTCCAGGATATGAAGCATGATCTGAGCAACACACTCTTCTATGTTTCTATGAAACACCCCACTCATCTAATTGTTCTCATCATTAATTGGAACAACTGGGAACAGAAAAAAAAATAAGCATATTTGGGACGTATGCTTGAAGTAAACCTCATTTCTTAATATAATGTTTGGGAAGTTTAACTTCGCATTTGGAATATATTAAGGCTCTTCAGACAAAGCTTGCAATATGTGCATTTAGCTAACAAGTTTTAATATATGACATTATTCAAACATTTTAGATATTTAACAGCAAATGTACACAAACCCTTCAGCAATTACATTAGGCAAGAATTCTCAGCAACTGATGCACATGAATTCTAGATTTTCTTATACCTTAAGATGTTGGTTGAATTTTTCTTTACCTTTTTAAGTGAAGTGGAGAATACTTTTTTTATTCTGGTATTAGTAAATCTTTGACAGGACAAAAACACACTGTAGTCTCTTTCTGTAAATTAGTATGACAAATACCTTTTGCTATCTGCATTACTCAATTCCAATCCTAAAACACTTAAGCAAATTCTTTTCACTCAATGGCATTAACACTAACAACAAAATAGTTAGTTAAAACGTTGCCTTACCGTGTAAATGCCAATTCTACAAACAGCAAATGAGAGCTGGATACATTCAGACATAGTCTAAAGGAATTAAAATAAAGACATTACCAAGAATGCTATTTATTAAGAATTACTTTTCTTCCCATCTCTCCCCTCTCCCCTGAAGGAAACACCTTATCGTTCTTCTGCAGGGCTGTATTAAACAACCCGAGAAAAATGCTATATAAATTCAGATTATGCAGATACTTACTACCTTTCATACAGAAGCAGCTGCCAACAGCATTAGAACTCACTAATTCAGTATTTCATTATAGGTCACAAACTACCTAATGATTCCCAAAAGGCCTGAACACATTAACAATTTGCATGTAAGCTTTCAGTCTCATTTATTTTTATCTACTCTGGTTTAAAAACCACCTACAAGAGACATTTTAATGGAATGCTTTTTGGCTTCCTAGTAGACTATAAAGAGCATCTGTGTTTAAGTGTTACAGTTCTTCTCTCTCTGTACCATCACTGAAACTTTCTTCCTCTATATACCAAAATAATGCATATAATTTAATGTTCCCACATTTCTGAAGTCTTACTCTTAATTTTCTGATATTGTCATGTTCAAAATAGAACTCTTAAATATTTTATTTCATCTGTTCTTACAGCTGTGAATAACCATATTAAAAGTTTTTACCCTCAACTCGCTCATCTGTTGTGATGACACAATTCTATGTCTTCTGCAGTCACCCAGAGAGGCTGAGGACGGACTATGAATTTCTGACGAAACAGATAAAAAACGCCTTCTTTAATTAGCATAAAGAAGCGACTCTCCAACACCAAAATAAAAACTACTATACGTTGCCATTTTTGCAATATGATCACGTATAATAAACCAGGTTTACAATGATTTATTCAGAAGAGTAATTGAGGAATTACTTTAAATCAGCTATTTGAGAAGTCACTGTAGGGAAAACTTAAAGCAATCAACTGGAACATTTTTACTACTTAACAAGTTCACACATCATCTGCAGGTATTTTAAGATAAAGTGCTGGATGCTACAGACTTCAAACAGTATCAGTCAAAACATTTATTTTCAGTCTCTGCTTTCTAACTTCTCCCCCTCCAAAAAACAAAACACAAAAAACCCCCTGCAATTGAAATACCCATTTAATTAGAAGTGTGATATAAAAGAAAAGAGATCTTATTAGATATAATAGAAAATAGAAAATATGTAATTATAATAGAAAAATGTGTAGCAACATTTTTCTTTTGCTGTAACCGTTTAATCTAAATTTTGAACACACACTATTTTACTGAACTGTCTAAAAGCTTCTGACTTTCACTGAAAGCCAAAAAGCACAGCACAAAAGACCTGAACTTCAACAGCATGGTTGATTTTTTTTTTTCTTACTGGAAGCAATCTAGCATATTATTACTGAAAAGGAAATGCTGATTCAAAGCACCATTTCAATTGCAAGGAATTTTTTTTTCAGTTTTAAGAACAAACAGCCAAGTCTATGTGCCCCAAGTTTCTCCTAGAAAAAAAATAAAATCCCAAGAAATAGGCACTGACTGAGAAATCCTATGTTACACAAAGTGGTGGGGTGGGATTATAAACCATACCATTACCTCTTCTGACAGTATTTGCAGACCCTGTTCCAAAGGTTCCAGGCATGGATGACTTCCCCAAGCAATTTAGTCCAGTGCTTCATTATCCTCTCTGCTAGAAAGTTTCCTAATGTTTAACCTGAGCCTGCTGCAATTGAAGCCCATACTGAAACATAGGGTGATACATAGAGTGATTTATATTTTCAGTATCGTGACATATTTTATGCTGATGGCAGACACAACTTTAAGTAAATGATTATTTCTGCTTGCAAGAAAAGTAAACATGCAGCAGCAAACCATTACAATTTCTCAATGTATACAGTTTGCTTTTATTCTAGATTAGCACAGCATTACAAATTGTTTTCCTTCTTTTATTTTTGTTCAGTACTTTCAGGCTATACGTTAGCGGGAGAACTAAGCTGCAGTTCAAATTCCCCATCGGGTGCCTGTAGATCCTTTCTTCAGTAGAATAAAGCAAAATACACCTGTGTTACCTTACTCATCTGTCATTGGGTTTGCTACTGACAACATTCTGAAACCACAAGACTTTAATAAGGCATGAATTCTAAAATTATCTCCCCATCCTACTGTCACATAAAGTACCAATGGATGTTTCCCCTATGCATTTCCCGAAGAAAAAAATCAAAGTAATCCCTTCTTCAAGCCTCCAAGATAATACTTATAAACTACAGTCTATCATGTTAAAAAGGGTCATTAATCCCAGCGCTTAATTTCTCTTATATTCACCTATCCTTACCTCCAAAAATTTACATCCCCTCCCCAATACTATTTCAGTTTAATCTCTGAAAAAGTGACAGTGATTTGACATAATTAGAAGTTTAGTGATACTATCCTACAGACTATCATCTGACCACTGAATTACAATATATGTGATAATCTGTTGCTACAATGAGGAGTTAATTCTTGATACTTGTAATCTTTCACTACTTTGGTTTTACAACTCATTTGGGACCATACAACTGGGTAACAAAACAGGTGTTGGAGAATTTGCATTTAATTTACTTACAGTTTACTGCTGCTTTCGGAAAGGATTTTACATGGTAAGCATGAAAATAAAAGAAAAAAAAAAGTAAAAATATACCTACAAATACTACAAAAGAAAGAAAGATATCTTATTTGATACAATTCTACAAAAACTAATTCTTCATAGATGTGAATTCATATGTCCAAAGTGAAAAACGGAGTCATCAGGTCAAATATGTAAAACATGCCAATACCCACCCTTCTCCTTAGGCAAAGAGTCATCTTACAAACATTAAGTAAATTTCTCCCACCGGAAACTAAACTCATGGCTAACTTTCATATTCACCCAAGACTGTTATTTTAATCATACCTTTTAAAAACGTGGCTGGACATAATGACTTAGAAAGATGTCCTGCCTGCAGCTGTGCAACCTTTCATTCACAACAAGCATTTGTTCTGTCCATTTTTTCAAGCATTCAGCTATCAGTCCAAATATCAGTCAAATATTTTCAGTATTCAATGTTTAAAACAAGAAAAAAAATCTCATACAGCTCTACCACAGGCACATGTTATTAGTCTGCAATTGCACAAAGCCATTGTTTTAATTAATATTTATTCCCTCAGTAAACACAAAATTAAATCCCTAGTCATAATATTTACAAAAGACCACATTTTTTAAAAGATTAATTCGAGCATATTCTGCAACTGATGACTTCAAAGCTGCAAGCACCGAGTTGAAAGCACTAGCCCCAAGAACCTTGTTGGGCAAAAGGGGGAGGGGATCCCAATCAGCTCCTCAGAAAAGATACAAAAGGCTCAACACTTGGGAGAACCGCAGGAGGTGGTAGCTTCAATTCTGCCAACCAACAGAAATACTCACCTCGACCTCAACTTGCTGTGCCATAATCCTAAATAAATCACAGCACTTAGTATAGCTCCAAAACCACAAAACCAGAAAGCAACATGAGAAAAGCAAAATGTTAGGAGGTTTTTTTCAGGCAATATGTTTCTTTAGTAAAGCAAAGATCAAGAAGCCCTTCTGCTCATTTATAAAGAAGTGATACAATCCAGTAATCGCTTGGAATTACTGGATCTTCCAGGCAAAAGCTTTTCCACCTCCGTTCTTACCTGCATCTTTTCAGTGCATAAAATTGCAAAAATTAGTAACACAAGTGTATAAAATATGCAGGTTTTAAGACACCTATATGTATGGAGCCTGAAACAAATTCTCAGTGTTTATGTGCTTTAAAGAACAAAGGGGGTACCCAAAAGCACACACAACTACGCTACAGTAAAGGTAGAAGGAACTTTGACCAGAACTGCTTTTTGCTAAGCTTGTGTACTGAACTCCAACTAGTAACTCCAAGGCTTCTCTTTCTGCACAAGACGTCACAGCCCTCTAGCACATTCCATTAATAACGTTTCTAACTTAAACCCCCCAAATAGCTTTTTATACAGTTCTCAAGGATAAAAGACACACAAAATAATTTCATATTCTATTATTCTCTCTTAATGCTTGTCTTAGTTCAGCAAGAGACCAATGTTTGCTAAGGAGGGCGTGTTAGGGAAAAAAAAAAAGGGGGAACCAAATTCCTCCCTCTATGTTATTAGAACTTCGAAATTAAGCAGCTTCAGGTGAGAGGTGTGGAAAAAGAAAATAACAGCTCTTTATTAACATATATATATATATATATATATATAATATAACAAACCCAAATGAGCAACAGCGGCTCCCCCGCCACAGTCGGGGCCGAACGCGGCTGCTCCCGCCAGTTCTCACAAGTGCCCACAGCCACGTGAGCCATGGCGCTCCCACGCCGCAGCCGGGAAGGGGGTTTTCCCGCCGGTCCCAGGGCGATGGGCACGGTCCTCGGTAACACCTCGGGGCTCCACAGCTCAGGAAATAACTGCCCGCGGTGGTGGGCGGTGGAAGGGTCAGGCAGCTGCCGCAGGAAGATTCTCTGACCCGCAGAACCGGCACAGGGCGTAGCCTGAGGCAGACACCTCGCTCTGAGAGGTCGGCAGGTGCTGTGAGGGCCGGCAGAGACTGCGGCCGCTCCCTGTCAGCTGTGCGAGGCAGGAGAAGGTTTCTCGTCGGGGGAAGGGGGGGGGGGGCGGAAATCAAAAGGAGAACAAGAAGGTGGCTGCCGGTTCTGTCGGCAGCAGGCAGGAAAACCCACAGACAAAAGGCGGTGTGCTGCCGGCCGGTTTTAAAAGGAACTCTCCCCTCCGCTGCCCACCCCCCTGCCTTCCCCCGCCTCGGAAAAGAGAGCAGGGGGACATCGTAGGTGCACACTATCCAGTAATTGATACTGGGGGGGGGGAATTCCAATATCTCTTTTCAAACCTATAACAATGCTGAATAATTAGATTTCTAAAATACCAGCCTCCCTGTACATAATCATTAGAAAAATAAATCTTAGTTGAGAGTCTAGGAAGAAACCTGATGCTGATGTTAAAGCAATGATATGTGAACAGGAAATAGGACAGGATCCAAGAAATCTCTTGTCATCATAAAAAGTAATGAGGTGGATGCACCAGAGAACAATGCGCTCCCCTCTTCTAGGCAATATTCTCAGTACGACAGTTTTCCATGACTGTTTCCAGGACTGCAATGGCTCAGACAGTGAAAGATGCAGATTAGCCAGGACAAAATTAATAGCTGCAAGAACAGCATAGATATTTCTCAAGAATGCTGGACCTTTTCTCCAGTCTTGCTGAAACACAAAATTATACAAGTTTCTAGGCAAGAATAAAGCACTGAGAAGAGATCACTCACTGCAGAGTGCATCATCACTCTACAAAGATGTCAATTCAGTTTCAGGTTCACTCAGTGTGGTGGGCCTTACATATGAAGTAATAAATTCATTAAGACACAAATGTTGGAAGGCTGATAACCTCTGCTCATATGTCAAGGCAGCACCTCCAAGAAGAAGGAAATCCATTAGCTACATGCCCCTGGAGCAGATTAAGTACCTTCATAAATCCCTCTAAACTACAAAGTCTCACCTCCTGTGCAGTCAATGCAATTCTGCTTACACTGGGGAGAGCTCCTGGACACCATCCAGAATATCTCAATTTTTAACTGCAATTTCCTGTTCTAGAACTAGTTCTAGCTGTCCCCTCAGTGAGGAGGGATGGAAGTATTTAGCTCACATCAAAGCATTCTGGACATACAGGAAATCATATCTTATGGACCTACCATCAGGTTCCAGCAATCACAACTTCAGGATCTCCACTAGCCTACAATCACATTTAATACCTACCCACAATTGATCTGTCTTTGAAGACACTGTACAAATTCCTGATCAACTCATCTTGACCACTCTAACATTACTGAGATGTAATGTGAGACACAGAATTCAACCAAACTCATATGAAAATGCAGTTCCTGGATTATAACTGTCAGTGAGTTCTTTTATTGGTAAAAAATTACTTATTGCCTAGTTACCCTCTCTCTATGATTTCAAAGACTTCTATAATACAGCCTCCTCACACCAGCCAGCTGTCTCTTCTTCAGACCGAAGGGCTGTAACTATATAAACCTTGCTTGTCTGGAAGCAATTGCTTTCTTTTAATTACTGTGTCATCCTTCTTCGTATCTTCTTTAGTTTTTCGGTTCTTTTCTTGAGATGATGCAACCAGAAATGTAGCATTTAAGCCAAGAGCAAACCTTACATTTGAAGCATTGTAAAAATGAGATGTTTCCCTCTTTTTCTTAATACTCTAAGCTTGTTGACAGATGTCTGGGTTGAAGAGACATTTTAAAGAAGAATCCTCATTCCATTTCCTGAGCGCTGATGGTATTTTAGGGCCTATCCATGCACCCATACTGCCACGTGACTTGTACTATAAAGATATGCAACTTTGCATTTATCAACACTCAATTTAATCTGCCATTTTACTACAAATACTACCAAAAAGAGGTACTATGATTTTTTTCCTGGGTTCAATATGCACTATTAATATTTGTGCCTGCATCAGCCCACCCAAAGGATATGAAATGTATACTACTAAACACAAACATTAAATTCCCTCATAATCTCTGCATTCTCTTTCTCCTCTTATTCATTGCCAGAGCTGTGCTATCA